CTCTTTTGAACTGGCACTTAGAGTTCCAGCCTGGGTCTGCATTATGCTAGATTCTGTACACAAATAAAAGAAGAGAAGGTGGATGTTGTCCAAGAACCTTTCCATATAAGTACAAGATGAGAGAAAACAGATGAATGCAATAAGCAGAATGAGCATGATTTAACAGTAAAGCGAGGATAGCTAATTAATCCGTTTGTACAGAGCCTAGCAAACGGAGCTAGACCACATTACTTGCAACTTAAGTACTTAATAGCAACAACAATAATGATTAGGCCTTTAAAATTAATGTATTAATTATCAGTCAGAGCTCATAAGTTGTTTAGCCTGTGAATGAAGAATGCCAGGGTTTTTTTTTATCTAAAGTATCAGGGGACCCGTAAATCTTTTAGAAAAAGGCTACTTTCATATCAGTATTGCGTTCCCTCATACACAGGCTTTCTGCCAGTCTACTGTGAACTACAATAGTGCTTCTCCTGAGTCACCATTTTACTTATGAGCATCATGATTATTTATTTATAATCATGCCATCATTGGTTTAGGTTCTTGATATTCTCCTTCATGTCTGCCCTTGCTTTTGAAGCTGTCCTTTCCCTTTGCCCTTTCTCATTAAACAAATAATGATTGTTTTCCTCCCTGCTTTGCCACCTGTTGCTCACTTGCCTGTGCACGCAGTGTTATCTGTGCTATCAGTAGGACTCAGGAAGGTTAAGGTATGGCTCTTTCGTGGGATGAAGTGGGCTCTGATTTGGAGGAAATGCACAAAGATCAACAGATAAATAAGGCGATAAATAAGGTCTGAATCAGGCCACCCGTATACATCACCTTGTTCTCCCTCTGGAGCAGCGATAAAGGATAAAATGCACTGCAGACATGGAGGTGGGGCATGGGGGGGCCAGCCTTGTGAGCAAATTGCTGCACCTCTATGGGTTTCCAACAGTGCCTCTGAGTCTCTGTTTGCATTTTGGTATCTGTGAAAAAAACCTGATGGTTCTTCCTTATTGGCTGCTCCAGATCCATAAATTACTCCTGTTCCTCAATTTAGATGAGAATTTCAGTGAGGTGAGTGATACAGTCTGAAGAAACCAAGTGCCTAAAACAAAAGACAGATGGCCGAACCCATGATTCACTGGCGATGAGCTGCAATTGGGCCATGTAGACTTTGAAGTAATTCATTATGTTTTTATCTCTTCTGTAGGGGGAGGATTTTCCTCAATGATTTGTATGATCTTGCTAAACCCAGATAGGTGGCAATTGAGCAGCAACTACTTCTTCAGAAGAAACAGAATAAAAATATTGAAAATATTGACTCACCCCAAAGGCAGTAAGCAGCACTTTGGTCTTTGACCTTTAAGCATCCTAGGGTAGTCAATAACCTGGCTGTTAGACGCTGTGCCTGCCACTGATTTTGATTTGGGAGTAGTTTAACCTTGAACCAAGATCCAAGTAACCACGGCAACAGGAAGTCGGCCTCTCCATCCAAGGAGTGGGAATCCATAAATCAAGGTCCCTAATGCAAACACTGTGTGCAGGTAGAGATTTGAGAGGATAAGTGGTTTGTGAGGGATTACCTTTGAAAAAATGAATGACTGTCCCTTGATATGTTGAAGCACAGCTTCACAGAGACTTTTTTTATCAATAGAGTTCAACAGGTTACAGCTGCATGTTTTCATATAGCTCTTTATATAGGCCCTTCAGTTTAATTAGAACCAGATGTTGAATTTATGAGGTTGTTAGCATTATTATGTACCATATGCACATGCATATATGTGTATGTGTATTGATACATACACCCACATGTGCTTTCTTGCACACAGACTACATTCATGAATAAATAATGTTAAGGCTCAAACTCAAGCATTCTAGAGTGGTGGAACCACAGTTTTGCATATGCACAGTTCCATAGTGCTGTGATCCCATAGGCATAATTACCTGGTCAAATATTCCAGTTATTCTATGGGACGGTGCTTTATTCAATGTATGGAGCTGACCTAAAGAAGAGCTATTTGGTAGTTGGATTTTCCTCTCACTATTCAGTGTGTGACATCACATCTCATTTATTCCACATTTCTAAGCCTCAGTATGAATAGATGAATGTTTCGTGAATGTTGATAATTTTATTTTCGCAGCACTGCTCTTGAGATGAGGGGTATATTATTGTTCTCATTTGCAATAGAGAAGCTGAGCAGAGAGAGATTGAAGTTGAATGGTTACAATTTCAGATGCTTAATACTTGATTTGAGTCTCTGGAAGGATGTGTGGTCTAATAGGCAGAAACTCCTCTGCATATCTCCACCAAGCCATGACCTGTAATTCTGCCTCAGCCCTGGCTGTTTCTGTACCCAGAGCTGTTCTCCTCTGTTAAGTTCCAGGCTGATATCAGGTCACAGGTCCATCAGGACTCCTATTTCTGACTGCCCCACTCTGTAGCCCCTCTTTCAGATTCCTCTCACCAATGCAGTTCTGTGCCCAAGCCTTCTGGAGATTTCTTCCACAGTTTCTGAGACAACCCATAGGTCTTCTGATATTTCACATTTCATGTGCAAGGGGCAAAGGTATGGACTGTTCCTAGCAGCTCCAAGCTGCAAATAGAAGGAAATGTTGGTTGGTATCTGTAAAGGCTGAGCGCAGCCAACAGACAGAAGTTTGTGCAGCAGTTGCTGGCTCTGCTTTGAGATCTTGATCTTCTAGGAAAGGTATCAGGGTACTTGTGGGAACCCTTTGAGGAACTACTAGGTGCAGCCAGGGATAGCAGTGGGGGCTTATTGCTGCAGGGGACAAAAGTCCCCATCTGCTGACCTGACCTGCTCTCCAGGGACATTTTCTTCTATCCTGGGGCTTGGATCAGGTAAATAATGGAGGCATACCAAACCAAATCTCAGTGGCAAGTCAAACCAAGCAAAGGTGGCAGGAGACTTGCATGAATGACCAAGGAGCTCTTGACTAATGCCAGACATAAAAAGGAAGAAAAAAAAAAAAAGAGGTGGAAGCGGGAACAGGTGACCTGGGGAACTGTAGAGACAATGTCCAAGCATGCAGGGATGAGCTTGGGAAGCCAAAGCCTGTCTGGAGTTGAATCTAACAAGGGCAGAAGGGCAAAAAGAAACATTTATATAGGTACATAAGTATCAAAAAAGAAGCCTAGGGAAAATGTGGCCCCAGTGCTGAATGGAGCAGGGACCCTGCTGGCAAAAGGCTGGCAAAAGACTGGCAAAAGACCAATGTACTCATTGTCTTCTTTGCCTTGATCTTTACTGGTAAGACTGGCCTTCAGGAATCCCAGTCCCCTGAGACTGGCGAGGAAAGGACACTTACCCTCGGTGGAGGAGGATCTGATTATGGAACAGCTAAACAAACTGAACACACATAAGTCCGTGAGACTTGTCAGGATGCACTCAAAAGTGCTGAGGGAGCTGGCTGATCTCATTATGAGACCACTCTTGATTATTTTTGAAAGGTCATGGCAATTGAGAGAGAGGATCCTGAGGAGCAGAAGAGCGCAAATGCCAGTCCAATAAGGGCAAGAAGAAAGACCTAGGGGTGGGCACAAAATGAAACACAGAAGGTTATGTGTGAACATCACAAAACACATTTTTATTGTGAGGATGACTGAGCACTTGAACAGGTCACCCAGAGAGGTTGTGGAGTCTCCCGCCTAGCAGGTACTCAAAACACGACCAGGGCAACCTGCTTTAGATGATCCTGCTTGAGCAGGGTGGGGCGGACTAATGATTTCAAGGGGAGTCTTCCAATCTCAGCTACTCTGTGATTTTTGAATCTTTGTGTAATTTAACTGCCAAAATCTGATGCATTTTATCTGAGGCCCACGTGCAGGTTGAGATTTGGAAAGAGAAGGAATTTATGAAGGACTGTCCTAGATATGTTGAAGCCCTGGGAGAGACACTGGGAGAGGATTTAATAATTTGGCAAAGACACAACGCAAAGTCCTCGCCCTCACAGACTTTTGCTCTGGTCTCATAAGAGCAGGGCTACTGGATTTTCACAAAGCAGCAACTGCTAGGAGTTTTCTAAAACGGGCAAAAAACCTCCCAGTCTTATCGTAAAAAGTGACTGAGGCATTTTAGCTGCCTTTCTGATTGATAAATTAATACTCTTATATATGCAATATGTGTACACACACATGAACTCATGGAAATATTACATATAAATGGGTGGAGACACATTCAGGTGTATTAGGCAGATATCTAATATGTAAAATTTAAATCCCAGCAGTTTAATTTGACACATTTGCAAGCAAACAAAATGGGTTAAAATCATAAGAGAGTCTGAGAAACATTGTTAAGGGAGGAATCTACCAGCCCCAAGTGCATAAGTTTTATTTCTCTGGAATATTTGAGCTCTTTGGTATATTTCTGCTACTCATTACTTCTGCATTGTAATCCCTAGGTAGAAAAATTTATGACAAATTGCTCTTCTTTTTAAAGTCACACCTCTTTAATGAGTTGTAAAGTAAATTTTCATTAGGAAGAGGATTCCTAAAAAATAAGTGTAAGTGTAAGTGTAAGGGTAAGGTACTTTAGATGCAGAATTACATACCAAGGCTGTTCCTGATGCCTGTTCCTTACTCAGATGAAACATCTACTGAGTCAAGTCATTATAAAAGAGGAGTGTGTGAGTGTGGAGAATACACTACCCAGAGAATGACAAATAGACAATCCTACTAAATACAGATATGAAGCATGTCTGTCTATATACATAGAGAGTGTGGTTTTGCTTGGAGAATAAAAAGTAATAATGTGGAATTATTTTGTTGGTTTACCATTGTTTATAGAGATCAGTGACGGTACACCCTGAAGCAAAATTACCAAAAAAAAAAAAAAAATCATGATCCTGGCTAGTATCAAGTCCATATTACAGCACATACACAGGAAAATCTGGAAATATATTGAGGTAGCAAGGACAGCAACTGACTGTTCTTTTCCAGATATTCCCTAGGCAGGTTGCTTTATCAGTATTCATTCAAATTTTGTTTCTTTCCCCAGGAATTGGAGGTCCCCACTTAAAAGCAGACCAGACTTCACTTCATAGTAAAATGGAAAGTTCTGCCTGTAACATGATGACCAGAAGGAAGCCAGCAGCTGTTGACAGCGTTGCAATGCCAACTCCAGTATTATCTCTCCTACCTTCATCATCAGCAACATCTGAAGCAGGTAATGTTGTTTCCCTCCAGCCCCTCTATTTCTTCCCCATCTTATTCCTTCTGGCACTGTGCTGAACAACATGTGCTTGTACTGCTCTTCCTGATTGGAGAAGTAGCTGCAAATGTGCATATCTAATGTGATAATCAGGCTGTAATTTTTCTAACACTTTCTTATCATGATCATATCTTGGCATATCAAATCTATTTTATTCACATACCACCACTCGTGTAATAATGAGGACACAAGTAGCACCAGCCCGTATGGTCTAGCAGGGGACTCTGAAGCAAGACTCTTGGGTTCCTTTCTCAGCCCTGTTGTTCATTTATTTCAGTGTTTCCATCCCTGTAGCACGAACATACCAAATACACAGTGAATAGCAAAGGAGCAGCTGAGATTTCTTTCTGCATACTTCAGTGATTTTAGCATAATATTCTGTCTTGCAAATGCAAAATTGTCTGGGGCAATGAACAGTGATTTAAAATATATCAGAATAAATAAGTCAGAATAGCATGTTTTTCAATCAGCTTATATTTTGTGCTTCTATTTTGAATCAGATCAGAAAGGTGATAGCTTTATACAGTCAGAAATTGAGCCAAGTCATTCAGACATCATCATGCCTTTTCTTGAGCACGGATAGAGAAGTTAATCTTGCATTGTGTCTTAATTTCCAGTGAATGGGGAACCCACAGTACATTACCCTACATGCAGCCATTAGGAGTTTCACAGTCTTGTCAAATCTTTGATTCCACATTCACACAAAATGTATTTGTATCACTGAGTTATGGAATGATTATGTATTTAATTACGCAAGTGAAAGTGCTGTTTCAGTGCACTCCTTTTGATTTTCCTCTCATTTCCTCAATAAATAGTGAAAACAAGGGATTGATGCTGTAAAGTAGCCTCTATAAAGCTAATTTTTTGTATAAAAAAAAATCAGGTTTCTCTGTTTAGCCTTTAATACTTTCCTATATATATAAACTAAGGACAGATTTTTAGTGCAGCAGAGAATGAAAGCACACAAATATTTTATGATCAGTTTCAAGATGAAAGTGTATGCTTGACTGCATAGTTCATTCTTTCCATTTTCAGAAGTCTAATTAAATTGTTGGTTTGTCTATAGCCCAGATGTTGAAACAATTTAGTGAAAACTGAAATAAACTGTGTTAATGGGAAAACAGGACAGTGCTATGGGTTTTCTGTAATTAAAAGGGAGCTCTTTGAAAATTCCTCCACTCAAACCAAGTCGAACAAACTGGGCTCAGCTGTTGAGCAAACAGTCTTCTCTGTGCCATGTTCTTGCAAGTGGCCTTGGGCAGTTCCGAAGGGATGGAGAATGACAGGCAGTAAGAAGGATCTTTAGTGCTGCAGACACAACAAAGCCATCCAGAATAAAGTTAGAGGAGCAATGGAGAACTTCCAAGGGGTCTGACCTACCTGGGCTCACCTCATTCAACACTGCTGTGCTGGAGTGGGTCCTCTGGCATGCTTGACGCTGCCCTTGGAAATGTATATTTTTGGTAGAGATTTCTCTCTTTGCCTCAAAAGCTATTTCCAGCATCTTATCAATCCTCTGTGACTTCCCAGCATGGCCTGCAGCCTTTTCAATTTGTCTCTGTCTGTGAGAAGAAGCCTCACTGAATCTGTGTACCCTGGGGAGGGGAGACACAGGGCCTCCACGTGTCTTGTTTTACATCTGTAATATTGAGATTTAAGACCAACGCTGGTTCTTGCTTGTTTGAGGCAGCGAGGTGAGGTTGTTTGGAGAGTGGGAAAAGGGTGGAGAAAAAGTACGAAAGCCTGTGCTGCATCAAGCATTTCTAGTTTCTCTTCACTTTGGGCGGGATTGTGCCAAAATAGCTTCACATCTTCATGAAAGCAGCACGTGGCCCTGCAGCCTGGGGAGCTGTAGGGATGTAACTGTGCCCAGGCAGCAAAGTGTCCCCCCTGCTGCATCCCTAGCACCTGGAGGTTGTCCTCATGTTGTATCATCACTGTAGGAGCATGTTCCCTTTTTTATACACCTGCGTGCAGACACAGTGTTACTATTGCCCACCTCCTCTTCAACCCCTTTTAGATGAATTCCACCAGGCGAGTAAGACAAAAATCTTCCTCCCAAAGCAAGACTTCCACGTGCAAACAACAAAGTATGTGCAGGAAGAGAAGAACAAAGCCTAAAAATGATGCAGGCCAACTTGGTTCCAGGGTTGGGCAGGGTCTGTCTGGATAAAATGGAAAAGATTAATACTTAGCTTTGGTTTTCAGCAGAGCAGTATATCACATGGCAATGTAGCAAAATATTTTATATCAAAGATTGCTCACCAAGAGCTTCCAGATGAGTTGATAACACCTAATGGCTTTCACTTCAATAGCGGTTTATTTTGACAGATCTCCCTGATATTTTGTCATATACACACCTCATCAAATCTTCCCCCTGCAGACCCATCAGACTCTTTTCTGCATAGTCTCCATACTCCAAATGTAGAATCAGATGTCCCTGACTCTCAATAGCCAAAATAATATTGGGTTTCCTAATATCTCCTTTAAAAAACTTGACTTGAAAGCATATTACTTATTCAGCACATGCATTCTGACTATTGGCAGACTATGTGACACGACTCAAGTACTTTCTAGAGCTTACAAGTTCAGTGGTGTGCGAGGAAGAAAAACAAAAGCATTATTAGTAGCTTCTACCAAGCTTCCTGAGAAAGCCATAAACGCCCGAAAGCATTTACGAAAGAAAAATTAGTGCAGTAAGCCAGCATAGAAGAGCATAGAAGTTTTTTTTTCTAAATGAGGAAAATGAGTTTCAGTCCAAAAGGAAATGGACTATCGATTGCAAGGAGAGCAAAAAAGTTGCTAAACAACATGAAGGAAAACACCTACAGTGATGTTCAACTTACAGATTTGAATGTAAGTGTAGATATCTACCCATAACTGACTGCATGATAGCTAATTTTGGAGAACTAGGCAGTTTGGCAGAAAGCAGATGCCTACTTTTGCTCCACTCAGACACAGTCTACTCACCATCAGGCTCCACTCAGGACACTCAGCCGGGGTGACCTAGACTTCTTGCGTGCTTAAGACACCCCTTGGATTTGGCAGGACGGACAGGAGACCTGCACCTTCCTTATCCAGTATCAGGGTGTCAGAAAGATGTCTATGGTCATCTTAAATTGCATCGAGTTCCCATTTAAGAAACAGAGGTCATCCTCCACCAACTATACAGACCAGATCTCCTTTGACTGCAATGGGGTGGTAATACTAAGCTGCAGAAACAGTCAACTACAGATAAATCTCAGTAAAGACATAAAAACTTTGCAGATATTTGGCTAATGCTTTATTTCAAATTTGTTTCCTGTCTGTTGGCTTACTTACTTTCCAATGAAAGTTGAGAGCAATGCCAAATCTCCTGATTTCACCATGAACCTTGCAATTTTTACTTTCTGGAAAAAAGACTGCATCTTGAGTATGGGAATTTAAAAAAAAAAGTCTTGAAAATGTGCCCTAACAATAGCAATAAAGGGCAACAGTGGACAGGGAATACAAAGACTGTGCAAAATGTTTGATTTCTTAAACCTTTTGACCTGAAGCTACTCTCTGGATCTGGGAGTCTCAAAGGAGTTGAATGCTTAGGGCTGGAAGTATTGGGACTTTATACGTCAATCACCAGTGAGGCCAGATGAGAGTAATCATTTTGTGTGACAGGGATCTAACCTTATTTTGATAAGATGACTGAGAAATAGCTCGCTGCCACATGCCCTCAGGGCTCTTGCATCCACACTTTTTCGGGGTGACCTACTTGTGAGGAATTTTGTGCAACTAATTAGCTTCTCCTAAGCAACTTGGATATTTAATTTCCTTTCTCTTTTTCTTTGGTACCAAAATGACTGCATTCTTCTTTTCTTTTGTCCTCTGTGAATCACAAACTGCAAGTGGGTTTTATTTTTCTTTTTGGTGTGGGGAGTGGGTTACATATGGAAAATGTATTTTGTTTTGTAATTAATGAAAACCAGATTTTGGGAAGTTGGCCATCCAGGTCTTTATTTATAAGAGAGCATATGTCTGTGTTTTGTTTATGACTCCCTCCTACTTCTTGCATTGTAACTTGGGTTTGTTTACGCAAGCTCTTTGCTGAATCCAAGCAACATGGCGGTATGAGAGCCAATAATTTATGTTCCGCAAGAGGGGAGGACAGCGAGTGAGGTTTGTATGCTGAATCTGTCATAGCCCGTAGCGAGCAAGAGGAGATTCTACCACTTGACGGCTCCTGGTTATCTACAGAAAATGCTACAATAGCAACTTTATTTAAACTACTGCTGGAAGATTAGCCTGTTAGCCATGAAGGGAGTGATAACCCCTAAATGAACCTTTCTCGAAATCTTGGCTGCTCTGGAAACTTCAAGGATTTCAAACCCAAATGACTGCTTGACAGGCAGGTGTAAATTAAGTTTGCAAGTAGATGTGGGCTGAGGTTAATTTAGGGGGATGTTTTATTTTTTACCGAAAAGAAATTCTGAACTCCATTATTTCTTTTCCAGCAATGCAGAACGGATATGTTAGGAGCGAGAGGGAGCACCAGTTATTGCAATAGCAGATTTAATACATTCTGTTTCTCTCACAAAGGGGTAGCTACTTATAATCCATGTGCAAATCCTGAGCTCTGAACAGATGCCACGTTCAGTAAAGGACAATGAGACAATTTAAGAAAAACAAGCAAGGTCTGATGTCCTAAGCAAAGGACCAGGAGCCAAGAAATGCTGGGTACTCTTTCCAGCTCTGACAATGACTCACAACGTGACCTTGGCAAGAGACTTAACTCCCTTGGACTTCATTCAGATCTAAAGCAAGTGATCTGAACCAGGAGTAAGCTTACTTCAGGGGCCACTGAAGTCAATTATATGACTGAGTAGTTTCAGCTAGTGTCTGTGGAGATGACAGTAAAGAAACTCAGGCAGGGGTAATGAATTTGCCACAGGTAAAGTGACCCACACAGCTTGTCTGTGCCCACTAGTTTCAGGAACAAATACTTTCCATACTAGCTGGCAACCATGGCAAGAATTAAGGGCCGGGGTGAAGGCATCAGGAGTATCTGTTTGGGGTACAGAAAGTTTAATAGTTACAGTGGGCCAATATGACAACTATGCTGAGCAGCCCTACCTTCCCTCCCACTAGAGGTTTATAAATGAGAATGAAGCAAACCCATGGTAAAACATTGTTGTAGAAAATCTTTGTTGCTTTAGAAGAGGGGAGAGCTGTAGAGAAATCTCTGAGGACTGCATAACAGTCAAAGCTGTGTTTAAATCTAGGACAGTAAAAAAGGAGGTAACAGCAATCCTTCTGGGACTGTAATAATCTTTTAACTTTCTTTTAGTTGCTTTTCTGTGCAGAGTCCTTTCTCGCATCCTTCACTTCTTTGGTAGTCATATTCAGCCTACTGCACTGGAAATCATCTAGTCTTCATGACATTGAAAGTGGGCAAAGGAGGATCTCCATTCACTGTTGTTTGACCCACCCCTGTTTCTGTTCTGTTCTCCCAACAGCCAGCCCACCACTGAAAAAAAGGTTCAAGCGTCGTGAAATCGAAGCAATCCAGTGCGAGGTGCGCAAGATGTGCAACTACACCAAGATCCTGTCCACGAAGAAGAACCTGGATCACGTGAACAAGATCCTGAAAGCCAAGAGGCTGCAGAGACAATCAAAGACAGGCAATAACTTTGTCAAGAAGCGGAGGGGGCGTCCTCGGAAGCAACCCCTCTCCTTTGACGAAGACTCCAGAGACCAAATGCCCGTTCTGGAAAAATGCATTGACCTTCCTAGCAAAAGAGGTCAGAGACCGACACTCAACCCTTTGATATTGGAGCAAGCAGCCACTCAAGATACAATCATGGCCACCATTGAGGCTGTGATACACATGGCTCG